CCCCCCCCCCCCCCCTTTCGTGACTCCTTCGCTTCGTGACACGACGCGCTCGAAAGCGAGTTCAGTTGCTTGAGAGCCACCAGCGCAAACGTCGTGGAGGATGTCTACAGTAGGTAGCGGTGTGCTGGATTGATCGCTTTCCTGGCACCGAGCATTTGAGACGTTTTGTGTTGCCGTACACGTATTGTGGAGAAGAGGTGTTTGGTGGGAGCAAAAGGGTTTACCCAGGGTAGACACGTTGACAAGACAATACAAGCGATCCGAGCTGTCCTGACCTTTCCCCTGGTCATTCTACTCCAGCGCGGCAAATTACACCCTACGGCGATCACCTCTCCTAGAATATCCACCCTTCCACCTCCACGTCTGTAGAGCGTGTTAGCCGTCTACTCGAGTTCATTTATTTTTTGTAGTTGTGCTCCAAGTACTGTTTGAAAGACGGGTGCCCAAGAACAGACACAACTAGGTGGCCAACGTACCGCTGTTTTTGATTGTCAAGGGCTGCTGTTTTCAGTCGTCTGGCAATACCGCAATCTTACTGGTTAAGGCTCATAGCACCTCATTTTCATCCTTCTCCCCTGTCTCCGACTGCACCGAACCAATCGCGCAGGAAACACACTGTCCCAGGCACGCAACGCGTGTTTATTTGTGTTTCTACGTGTATATCTGTCATCAACTCATCCCAGGAAAGAGCAAGTGCCTGGACGCCTTCATCGTCACGATGAACCAGGCTGCAGATGGACGAAAGCAGCAGTGGTATGCGTCTACGCTGGAGCTACAGCTTGTGTCGCTTGCGTTTTGTGGGGCGTGCAGAAGTGCCAAGATGCTGCACCTGCATGTCGACCGAGGAAAGCCTCCAAGCTTGTGGTTTCCTCACAAATCGTACACCACACCCAACAAGCGCATTGCGGCATCTCGAGTCTGGTTTGACGTGGGCGCTGCCGATGGAGTTTCTGCTGCAGAGTTCTGTCATTGGACCACGGTCAGGGTCAGAACATCGGCTGGGAATTGGACATCCATCCATCTGCAGCAAGCCTAGAATCAGTGTTTAGACAGCTGGAACTTTACTTGGATATGCCCGTCAGCACAGGGTCGTGGCCGGCCACCCTTCAGCAGTCGTCGATCTGGCGTTATTTCAACCAGCCCGCCAACGGAATAGTGTGACCAGCGTCCCAGAGGCAACTAGCGTTTGGAGTTTGCATTTAACCAAACCCTCGCCGAAGCAAGCCTCCCTGCAGCAGATATCGTTTTGTTTTGAATCAAACCAGCACATGAGTCGTGTGGCCGGCCTCCTTGCGATTTTTGATTCGTGGCGGACATCGACTGCACTGATAGCTGTCGAGCCACGCTCTCCGGTTGTGCGGGTCCTTCGGCCAACTACAAAAGGGAGGACAAACGGGTTTCGCTGGATTTGTGACGAAGAGTGATTATCCGGGGCGGGCGAAGGAGGAAGCAGTTTGCATTGACCTGAGCTACCCTTCTTGTCACTGATTGTTTATAGATCTAGACGATTTCTCTTGTCTCTTGATAGGGTAAGGAGCAACAATTGTAGGTGGTCACAGAAGGCAGACGGCAAATGGACCCATCAATCAGCCCGTCGGGTAGCAGTGAGAGCAGCAGGAGCAGCACCAGCGGCGAGAGAGAGCGAGAAGGGTTAAGAGTGTGTGAGAGATAGGGGGAGGGGAGAGGCAGAATACGTGCGTGTTCCTTTGATCAATAGCTTGCTGTGCGGGCTTACTAGCATCGGGGGCTCAGCGACGCAAAACGGCTGCTCAATGAAAAGACGAGTTGTCAACGCGCGTAACTCTTTTGACTAGCACCGACCCCGATAACCGGCTGACCACTGAAAAGACGCCAGTCGTACTGCGGCTGAAACCAGAAAATGCTTCCGTAGGCCATGATCTCCGGAATAAAAACAGAAACGGTGGCAACAGAGGAATACTCGATGTGTGTGTGTTGATCACCCACCGCGTTAACCTGCTAGCTTGAATGGCATCGGTCGTTAGCAGGATGAAAAACGCCAACACGCTCTCAGTGAGGGTATTTCAATAGAGACAGACGGCGAGAGAATCCAGGTGAGAACCCGCACTAGGAATTAACGTACTCGACAGTTCCGCTAACCTGTTCGCAACAAATGAGCACCCCGGAGCAATCGAGAGAGGAAGAGAGAGAGAGAGCGCCCACGAAAACGTGTCACGGGCTGATCGTTGGTTGGTCACCATCTGTCCGGCTTTCAACACTCCATCGTTGTTGTTCCCTCGATCTGCTTCTTCTCGTTTTGGTTTCGTGACCCCGTATACGTACATAGGGAGCACTTCCACTCGCTTTGTCTCCACCACGATATATGCTTCTCATACCCGGCCCAGCACACCGGAGCTGTAAAATTGTTACCACTCCTGATACCATCTTTGACTAAGACCCAAAGGTCGTGACCTTCCGCGGGACGGCAATGCCCCGCAACTGTACGGCACCAACACCACCGTTTTGCGCTTCGTACTCCCATCTTTCTAACACTTTGGTTCAATTATTACGCAATGTTTCAAGCACAGGTGGTTCCAGCACGGGTATGCCCCCACGCATGTGTTCTTCGTCCAGAATGGCTCAAACACCAACGCAAATTCTCCACTGCTTTCCTACCAAGCACCTACGCGGAGCCTCGTCTCGCCCCTGTCACGGAACAAACAAGGCCGCCGTCCTCTATCAGTATCAATACAACATAGCCCCAACAATGGTAGCCACAGCTGTTCCAGCGCGTCCAGGGTAGTTCTAGAAGTCAAGGTCATCGAGCTTAAGGTTGTTGGCGTGCTCGTTGATGAACTCCTTCCTTGGGCCCACGTTATCTCCCATCAGGACAGAGAAAATCCTGGCAAAAGAGAGAGAACCCGAATGTACACGAACAACAAAAACCGTTCCCACACAGGATGAGCATACGCATTCAACAAAAAGAAAGTAGTAGGGATGCGGCGGGGGGG